CACACACACACACACACACAGACGACTGCATAAATTCGCGGAACACGGAGAAAACCATGCATTGCAGTGACGCGACAGATGGAAACGACGGTGTCGACAGCGAAAAACGACGAAAGCCGAAGCTGCACGGTAATAGTGACACACACTGCACGCGGAATACACTGGATCAAGTGCGTCGTCGTCGGTTCCTCCAGAAGTTCTCGCCACAAACAACCACGCGATGGAAAGCCCGCGTCACGCCGCCTGAAACCACATTCAACACCCTGTTGATACCGTCGAATGAAGGCAGTCTCTCCAGGAACTCTTGTCTGGCTCTGCTGTCGTCGGACGAGTCGTTCTTCGGGGTTCGTCGTTCTCGCGAAGCCTCGCCGTCATCATCTTCCTCCTCGAACACCTTTCCACAACGCGAAAAAAACAAAATAATCCAACATCAGTGTGATGTAATCATTTGAGTATCATTCCCACCGTGGGAAAGGAAACCACGATAGAGACAACAATCGCAGGTGATGGATAGCCACGAACGCGGTGACGAGGTCAGAACAATCGCCTGTAGAGTTCGCATCATCGCGGACGCAGGACTTTTCTATTTATGCAAGTGCGCGGAACGCGAGTCCCGAGTTTATTGATAGGGAACATCACAGAGCCAATCAGGCATGTTCTCATGATCAATTACATTCTTGCTACCTGAAGAGTTTTATTTACGGTGCGTGACCAATGGAAATGAATATCGCAAATGAATGCTAATGATTCATGGGAGAAGACAATTAAATAAATCTCTGAAAAGGGTGGAATGTTTTCAAGAAAAAACAACCAAGGACTGCACCTAAATTACGAATTTTCAGCAGCTACCTGCACAGTATGGATCAGTACAGATATCATATTTCAGCATATTACTTGAAGGAAAAAGAATATACATCACAGTACAGTACTCTAATCATATTTACCAGCATTCAGGTGCAGTAGATCATGAAATATAGGCAGACATATTTCCTGCAGGTCCCCATAGACCTCCAACAGTGACGTGAAGCCACATCAGGCCTACCCAAATAATTTCTGTAATCCCCTGGAGCAGAGCTGGAAAGTTCGCCCATGTCCCAGTTTAAACAACCCCCTTCCAGTGCAGCAGCTCCATATATATGTGTATGTGTGTGCTGGTGAGATGGAAGTTCATGGAAAAAGAGAGGATATCCCCTGTGATCCCCGGGCACTTTAGCAAACAGGAAACCTCTTCCATCAGAAAGATCTCTCTCCAACAGGTTCCTACACCAACTCTCTCTTCCCCATTTTATATAACTTCTCATACAGGGTCTGAAGGAAAAAAAAATAACCAGGAAAATTCTTCACTAGAAACATTTAATAAATATATATTAGTATGACATCCTGCAACAATACGTCTTCATCTCAATTTTTTATGAGTAAATCATGCACAAAAACTTTTTTACTTTTAAGAAAAAAAGGATCACGCGATAAAAAGAAATACTGCATTAAGGAACTGATGCAAAATGTAAAGAATTCCTTCATTTTTTAGAGATATTCCAAAAGAAAATTCATTTCTTGGTGAATAAGAATTTTTATTTATTTACAGAGTGACAGCAAATAATTCCTAATTATTCCATTATTTCTCTTGTATCTTCATTATGAATGATTTCTTTGGTTTCCTCTCACAAACTGATGTACAATATTTTGAGATTCATGAAACATGCAGATTTCTTCTCAGCATAATTAAAATTTGATTGGGAGAATAGTAGCTTTTCTGCATTTTTTAGTAAACATTGACAATGTATGGGATCATCTGTAAGAGATAACATAAAAAATTTCCAAAACCCTTAAATTATATTCCACACTGTTGATTATGATCACTTCTCAACTTCACTCAGATTTTCAAGATGAAAGCCTCAGAAATTACATAATATGGGCTGAAAAACAATCTCATGCACATCCTAGTTCAACAGAGTAAGTGTGTTCTGGGATTTGAAATTTTATTCAACCTACTCAAAAGATATTTAAATCTACCTTTTGAGTTCAAAAATATATTTTTCAATTGAACAGAATATTGCCAATGAATTTATTCATTATAGGAATAAACTGAGGTATTCATATTCTAAAAAGTACATCATACAGGTGCTGGCCACAATAAGAGAAGGCAATGAAATAAATCCTATACATTATTTTTTAATAAACAATTGGGATTTCTGCTGGGAATTTGAAAATTCCACACAGCCAAATAACTCAAGAGAACCAAAACTTATTGATTAATTAATACAATTCACACAATTTACTTCCCTATATCTAATAAGGAAGCTCAAAATTGTGAATAGTCTGTGCAGATTTGAACATATCCTGATGGTCAGCCCTATTCTCCTTGCAAAAAGAAAGTCTTGTAAAAATGTACACAAGCATTTATACTCCCAGCAGCAGTACCATATTCAACATCCCCTAAAAACAAATATGTATTATGCGCATGAAATGGGGGAAATCCTTGTTGCTAAAAGCCAGGAGAAATGAACACAGAAAGCTTTGATGATGATGATGATGGATGGCATTAAGCCAATATACAGTTTAATGAGTATACAGTACAGTATATGATGCGGGTGATGGAGAATGACATGATGAATCCCTCCATTTCAACCCCACAAAACAAGCAGGATATAATAATGAAGCCAAGGCACATGATTCATCATCCCTATTGCATTCATGACCCACATGCAACTTATGTGCATGCATGCATGCATACATGCAATGCAATGCAATGCAGCAGGTGCAGGTCTCACACACATGGGCCAATAAGTCTCTTGCCTGCATTGTCAGGAGTTCTTCTGATGGGTCCTGAATGATGTGCTTCTATAGATGATACACACAATGCAGGGTAGCCAGATCATAGCTCTCAGGACTGGCAAAATCAATATCATTTCACCCCCCCCCCCCCAACAAACTCTCTGTAATATATTACTGACAAAACATGAAAAATGCTGGATAAATGAGAGAGAGGAACAGGTTCTAAAGATGTTGTCAGCACAGATGATATGATATCCTTCTCTTCTCATTGACCCACAACAAACATCATCTTGCAGTGTTGACAGACAGGGTTGCCAGCAATAGGGCTAGAATCAACACCCTGTCTCCCTTTTTTTTCTTATTATCATCATGACTTACAAAGTGCAGCTTCAATAAAAGGCAGGATTCCATCTCATCCATGCAGAGAGGGAAGAGAGCAGAAAAGTGCACTTGTGCCTCAATAAGATCTTGTCACCTACACTGAGTTCCTTTTTCCTCCCTTTTCTCACAGTATATCTTCAGCATGGAGTTTTTTTTTTCATTCTCCTCACAACTGGAAAGTTAATAGAAACCCTGGTCTGGATGATGGATGTATATATATATATATACTGTATCACCAAAAGAAGAGCCCAAGAAACAAAAAGAAAACTTTGAGCCCACCTATTCCAGGAAAAACAGAGGGTTCAATATAAGGATATATATTGGTGAAAGAACCTTCTGTTTGATCAACCTTCCTTGTTTCTGATACCCCTCCTTATTTTTCCCTCATGGTGAAGAAAGGAAATGGCACCTCCGTTCATATGAGACAGCATTTCATTCCATCTTGACAATGAAACAAGTTTCTGGAACCTACACCTGTCCTTCAAAGGAGTCACACATGCTTGCCATACAGTATTTCCATTCAGCATGTTAAAAAGAGGTTGCCAACCTCTTTTTTTTTTTTCAAAGTCCACATGAGATATAGCAGCTGATGAAATAAGGGCAGAGGCAATTTTATGTGAGGAATTTTGCATTTGTGAAAATAAGAACTTTTATTCAACAATGCATTTATCTGGAATATCCTTTTTTTTAAATAACCATTTTGAATGAGATCATCAATAAAGCGCTTCATTTTGAATGCTCATGCAATCCATCAACAGAAATGAAATTGCATGAGGGATTACATGCATTGAAATTATCAACTATAAATACAGTAATGGCATACCATTATTAACAATAAAAAGCCATAGTTTTTGTTTTAATTTTCAAGAGACAGTTAAATGTGTATTTTTGGTCTTTGGAATGTTTTTGCTGAATTTACACAAGTTTTGCTCAGATGAAGTGCCAAGATTGAGAAAATACATTTATACTCTACCTGAATTTTCAATGCAATGGCAACCCTGAAATCTAATCAATCAAATTGCTCAGCAGGGAAGTGATCTCTCAGGAATTTCCCCAGGGATTTCAGGAAAAGGAACTGGTTCTGTCTCTCTCTCTCTCTCTCTCTTTCTGTCCTCAACCCAGGCTTCAGCCAGATTTTCATCCCATATATGCACACAGCAGCAGCACTTTACTTTATCCAACCCACCATCTCCTCTTCATCCTGAATCTTGATTTGATGGATTTTTTTTCAAAGCAAGTCTCTATAAAAATACATTCCAGGAATATACTTTTAATTATTCTTCCACATATGGGGAATATGTCAATCATCAGTTGACTACTATGTGAGCATAGAGATATCATTTATCATATTCACCCCCTCCCTTTTCCTGGATCAGAACATTAACCTTATCCATGGTGATCCTATTCAAGTGCTCTCCATAAGCACAACATGTTCCCCAGAGAAAGAGAAAAGAGCTTCAAAGAGGCACATCAAAGAGCTCAGAGACAGTAATAACCACCAAAGGGGCTTCAGGAGTAATCCCAGAAAATCAACTGAAGCCTGCATGAAACCCAATTTTTTCATTTTGCTTTCCTATACAGTATGTAGAATGATATTGTAAATATAATATTTAGAGATAGATAGACAAGCTTTATTTGCTGCTTGTCAGTATTTGGGAGGTTCAAAAATTGTTTGCCACATCCCATCATTGAAATACAATATCATACAAATAATTCAAAAACATTCTGGAGTATCAAGACTGAAAAAATAAAGAATACAGTGAGACCCCAATATTATGCAGACACCCCAACATACCAACAAGTTGACTTGGGGACACTTGAAAAAAAAATCAGGCCCAACCTTTGGACATTGGCTCAAGTTAGGGACACTTTTCTGAAATTTTCCCAAAAATTGGAAATTTTTACTTTTTAATTTTGACATCTTTTGAAGACATCAAGTTACTGCATTTATATTCACAAAAATGGAAAAATACTTCATGTTAAATTCATTCCAATTCATAATCAAAAGAAAACTGATTTGGTGCTTCTTTTTGCAGAGTTTTCATTTCTATCATCTTTGCATATTCTAGCAAGACATAATCTTCTTCTCTACTTTTTGATCTTCATTTGATACCAAAAAGATCAGATTCCAGGTGGGTTTGTTCTGCACTGTTGCTTTCCACAACTTGAAGTTGAGGGAGCAATTTTTTATTCAATTTTTTGAGGGCTTATTTTTAATTTTTGATAAAAAGAAGAAGCAATTAAATACATCAGGACACTCTTGATGCACCAATTATGTCTGCATCTTGGGGTCTCACAGTAATATATGGCCATTAACAGATAAAACATATCTCAGAACATAAAAATTCATTATCTGCCTTTTTCTGATGATAAAATTGAGGAATTAGAATCTTTTCTCTGCCTTTATTGATGTATTTCACTTGAGAAATTGAACAAAGTCTTCTGCTTTTAATAAAGAACTGTAATTAATTCTGGATGCAATATCAAAAATATATCAAACAATTTCTTAAACCAGTTTATTTTTTTGAAGGTACTTTAGTGGGCAGTTTGTTTCAAGATGTTGTTCAAATCAAAACTTCCTGAATGGCTTCAGTTGACATCAGCTATTGCCAATCTTGTAGATATGTAAGATGGAGGAATATTCTTTTGTGACAGACACCCAATACCTTATGCATTCAGAGTTGTAAGCCATCCATGGAATTCTTCCTCTCATGAATAAATTCCTCATCTCCTGCATACTCCTTGAAACACAGTCTCCATTGCTCCTTTTCTTTCTTTCAAATGCTTCTCTCATTCCCAATCCCACTGTGTTTTCATCAAGACTCTGCATATTGAGAAATATTCTGCAAACCATCTCAGAAATGTCTGGATTCTTCCACCAATAAATTCTTTCCTCCCACAGGTGCCCAACAAAAAAATCATCAGCATATTATCAAGTGCCTGCAGTTGTTGCACAAACACTCTTGATTCCTTCTCTCAAACACAGGAAGCAGGTCAACCAATGAAAGAAACAAATCTTGGTTGGTGTCCTTGCCTTTTTTTCTCTCTGGCTTGTTATCAGTGGGACCACATCCAAGAGGAGTGGAGGAGAAGAACTGGGAGAGAAAGTTGCCCTATTTGGTTGCACTGGATTTGAATGATAACAAGGGCCAACACAATGTATGCATGTACTGCACTATATATACAGAGCAGATTCCAGTGAAGTCATTACACCAGCATTTCTTATTCTGATGCAAAAGGTCAAACATTTTTCAGTGATTCAAAATTGGATTCCAAGAGTTTTGTGGGTTAGATAAAATATTAGATCCATGGAAAATAAGCATTTCAAAACATTTGAAAATTTTAAGACAGTCAGCTCTGATCCTAAATTCATATGTTCTCGTAGAATATGTCACCAAAATATGTTATTTTTTAACATATATATTGAATAAAAAGAGATATATTTCAAGTAATCATAGGGTTTCTTGAGCCAATGTGAAATGGCTAAAATTTTCACACAGCTTTTCAGGTCTAAAATTTTGTTCTGCTGAATATCAATTTGAATAGTATAAAAGATGGAAAGCTAAATTTAGAATTTGAACCCCTTCAATGTGAGAAAATAGATTCAACCTGCCAGTTTTGTAGGGATTTCAAAGTGCTGCAAAATGTAAATAAATGCAAATTCTTCTGTGGAAATATCCTTGACCAAATTTTTTTTTGATTTTGGGAATTAAAATGGATTTACTAATGTTGGTCAGTTGGTGAACAAAAATTTTTCTGGCCAAAGAATAGCTTGTAAAATTAAGTGCTGAAAAAATAGGAGCTAAACCAAATTGGTGAAAAAGCAATGCTCACAGTTTAGAACAGGTAAATTATGAAAGCGGATTGGATAATCATCTACAGAAGTGTGCCCCAAACTTTTTGGGTTCATGGAACAGAAAATATCCAAAATTGCAGACTGAAAAGTTTGCAAAAAATTCTTTGGACAGGCAAGGAAACATAAAAGTTGTGCAGACTTGAGAAAATCTTGATTGAAAGACTTTACAACAGGTATTTAAAAAGGTTTCAATTTTTTGAAAAAATTAAGTTAACAACCAATGGATGAACAGCAGCAGATACTGGAATGACTTTCAAAAGAATAGAAAAGTGGGCTTGAAGAAAGGTTTCTCAGAATAAAAAATTCAAAATAATTTATGTCAGCACATACAAATTTATTGGAAGCACGGTATTATTGTAGGAGAGAGGCCAACTTTTACAGTATTTTCTCTTCAGATAATTTCAATAACTGTTGTCTTTCCAACATTTCAGCATAAAGTAACAAACTTAATTGCTACTTTAAAAAAAATTATCATGCTGAAGAAAATTTCCCACAGAACAGCAAAAACCTTTTGCAAGCTTGCATATATATATATATATATATATATATATATATATGTATACAGTATTTATAAGACCTGATGGGTATAAACAAGGCTCATGGGTTCTGACCTGGTCATCATCCTGTCTGGCCAGGGCCTCTTCTTGGGCCTTCTCCACCAGGGCCCTGACAAACACCTCAGCCTTTTCCCTGAGCACAGGGTCAGCCAGCAGCAAGTCCCTCAACTTCTCCCTGGCCAACTCAAAGTGCTCATTGGACACCTGGTCTTCTGACCAGTTGAGGTTAGGCACCAACTCTGGCACATCATCCTCTTCATCCTCCTCCACATCCAGGCTGTGCTTGCCTGCCAACAGCTCCCTGGGTGGGTGAGCCACTGGTGACCTCAGCACCTTGTTCATGGGGGCTGGTGCCAGTAAACACTTTGTCTCCTGCAACCAGTATACTGTATATATATACACTGTATATCCAGCACACAGGGATATCACAGTGATGAAAACTACTATATCCAGCAATATCTATGCACACATTATTCACTAAATCTGTATTCCATCAAACACAAAACAAACAAAAGACAATTAAGATCTGTCAGCAAAATGAAATGAAAACCAAAATTCAAAACCTGCCCTTTAATTGTTACATTTTAATTAAAGGTCCATATGAACTTGAACTTTGATTGTAAGCATCTATTTATAGTGTCAGTAACAAAGCTCAGAAAAATTGGAATTAATTTTCTAATAACATTGATCAAGTTGAGCATCAAATTACATTCCATGGTTTTACAACTGCATCATTGAGACACCACATTCAGTACATGCCTACATTATGATACAATCTTCTACTGTAAAGTAAAGTACTAATCAAGAAAGCTCCATTCAATGCTCTGATGTAAGTTACTTCAATCTTTGTCAACAGGTGTCACCTCAAACTAATAAAAAAGTCAGGCTTCTTTGAAAATTTCTTCAAAACCTTTGCATGTTGATCAGGGAAATTTTATAACTCATACACTTTTGTTGTAACTCTTGAAAGAATATTTCTCAACCACATTTTAAAAAATTATCTACTTTTACTTTGATGAAAACCTGAACTTTCATTCCACTAAATCTTTGGGAATCTTCCACCCCACAAGCTGATAAAAATTGATGTTAAATGTCCAATATAACAATTTAAATGCATACATATAATGGAATATCACTAATTTTCCCTTGATACCAACAAAAACATTTTGAAATGCAGAAAAGTGGCAAAAAACTCCAATCATTTTTTTGCATAGTTTTTGAAACATGTATAATTATGCTGATTGCTATTGGAGCCAGACACTATCTTTAAAAAAATGAAAAATCCAATGTTTATAAGATGTTGGCAAAAGTAAAGCAACGAACACAATATAAGAAGGCAAAATACTGCAGTAATTAAAATTTGGTCCCTGACTTCATGACTGTGCTCTATAAATATTTCCAAAAGAAAATATATTGCCTCCCAGTATATATAGAAGCAAGTGAACATTTGCACAGGTCAACTGCGACACACCTGGTCCATCAATCTTAGCACTGGTATACTGTATATGCAGCACTATACAGAAACCACCATCACCAGCAGTGGGTGGGAACACATCACAAAACTAATGTAAAGCAGCAACAACAACAAAAAATATGTACTGTATATATATATACGAAGAAAGACCCCCACGTCCTATTGATTAGCCGCAGGGAAGCAAAGTTCCTCCATCACACACACACACAGGCACGCTCTTTTCAACACGCCGACTTTTCAGTAGAGTGAGAATAAGAACACCCACGCGATGTTGATGCTCCTCCTGTCGCCGTAGCGCTGCAGCTATGCCCTCACCCGAAGGAGGCTCGGCGCGAACTGCCGCTGGCTCGTCCACCAGCACGAACGTGATTCGCTTGCGGAGTTTTGGCCGCCCTGCGCCCGCGGGCAACAGGCATGTGGGCGGCGGGGTGCGGGGGGATTCAATACTGCCGCCACCACCACCACCACCGGCACCTACAATGACGGTGGTGGTGGACGCCGGCAGGGACTGTTGCTTCACCAGCCTGCGTTTCCCCTGTGCCTGTCCGTCTTCCGCTTCAGTATATACGAGACAAACAGAGTTTAAATGAAGATAAACGCGAGCCAGCGGAAAACTCAAAGAGCGCTGTTCAAGTTTTACCATCAGCAGACACTTCACGCGTGTCCCGAACAGGTGTGTCTTGGAACCGCAGTTGAGGAGGCGCGCGTCTCGCTGGCATCATTGCGACCTCTGTCCTCGGCTCGATTGAAACGCGCGGAATTCGCCAAACTCGCGGTTAGGTGTCGCGCAATGTCGAGTCAGCAAATAAATCTGTAAAAATTAAAATCTCGATCATGTCAATAATTGAAAAGTGAGGGGATAACCGTCGCATGACTGAGATGCGCGTGGTTTCTGTGCATCCTGTGCTTGCACTTTGCTGTCGTGAGCCGTTGTGACAGGTCGTGCATTAGAAAAACCTTGCCCGAAACATCGATTAAACCTCGCCAGAATGTTATATAAAGGACAGGGTGGGGTTTATAATAGCATGACCCTGTTCCTGGCACATAAAGGGCTTGCATATATGCAAAGGGTACGAGGTGTAGAGGAGAAAAATAAAATAAAACGTGCACATTTTCGAGGGTTCACAGCGACACTGATTTAATGACAAAGGGGTTGCATTCAATAATGTGGCAGAATAAAATAATTTTCGAATCAATAAATCTCACAGCAGGGCAACACTTTTAATAATTTTATTATTTACAATTTGTTTGTACAATGAATAATTTTCAAATCTTCTCACAGCAAATGCCTACAATTTTTCTTTGAAATTTAACAGAAAAGTATTTAACATTTTCATATCACTGCTGTTTCAAGGAAATCATAAGTTTTCAAAGATGAAAATGTCTTCCTATTATATCTCATGGGAAGTTCACAGAGTATATATATAAAGCAACCAAGAATCTCAAACAATGAATATTTAAATTTTTCAGAAATTTCAATCATTTTTTCTCATGAAATATGTTAAGATATAGCAAGAATTAATTGTTTGGTTCAAAGGATGAAACCATTGATTACTTGAAATTTCAATTGGGATTTTTAAAATTATTACAAAACTTTTTCCTTTCTTTTATTTTAAATTTGTGAAAAATTCCCCTTTCAACTACTGTACAACTATTTCAAATATTGTTGAGAGAACAAAATAGACTTTTCATGGGATGAAAATTGTATTTCATTCTTGAAAAGCTGATGAAAAATCTGAAAATTAAAAATACCATTCCCTATATATAGTTTCATTGCCTCATATTTTTTCAAAAGATTGTGTATTAATTGTATATTGTGTCATCAGGTTTGCTGATGGAAATTGAACAAAAAAATAAATAGGGCTGTATATGTAATAGGATAAAATTTGAGCCAAAGACCTGCATGTCTTTGAAGGGCTGACCTGATTTCAGCATTTACTTCCTGGGGCTGAATGTTTGATCCCCTCCAATGCCAAGTAATGACCTGCAAGGGAACATTAGGCTGACCCAGCTTGTGCCTTTCTCTAATGCTGAAGGAGACCCTGGGATTGCTGCTGCTCCAGGAAATCAAGCTCATTCAGAATTTACTGTCTGCTGCAGGCTTTGCTCCAGCATATAGTGTACAGTATATATACAGCAAACCAACCTTATATCCTTGAATGTCTTTGCTTCCTTCCTTCCTTCCTTCTTCATTTCCCTCACTTTGGTTGGAATTCAGAGAGACCAAAGACAAAAAGGATGATACATTTATTCATCAAAGGAAAATATAGAAAATTATTTCACAACTGTAACTTCATGAAGATGGAGTTGGTGCTCTATGTTTTTCATTCAAGGTTTCATCCAGACAGCAATTGAATATGACTTTATAAAGAGTTTGAATCACATCAAGGAATCTGACAAGAATGCATCTCAAAGGGTCAGTAAAACAAACTACTTAATTGATGTTCTGCTGAAATAGTCTTAGTCTCAATGATAATTTAAAGCTTGTAAACATTTTGTGTGCAGAGAAGCTCTGACATTCCTGAAACTTGTGACCATATACTTGGGTATTTAAAGTTTACATCACTTTATAATATAACTAGTATAAGTGAGTTTCTGAAGCATAAATCAAAGTCCATTATAATCTTGCAAAAAAAAATCCACAAAAGCAATGCTCCATCAAACAAAAGGGGCAACAATACCAGAGCATGTGGGGATGGATAAGGTTTCACATGAGAATAATTACAATGGTTGCCATGCCCTTCAGCAGCAGGACAAAAGAGATGAAACCAAGGTTCATTATCTTGAACAATAGCAGAGAAATATGGAAAAACACACAAATGTCTTCCATTCCCATTTCAGGATAAGAAACCCCCCCCCCACAATATGTGTAGGTGTTTTCAGCCAATGTGCAAAGCAAAATGCATGTGTTTACTTATATTCTGTTGCAAGAGACATGAGTATATAGTGTTGGTAACCCTGCAATGTTGAATTAGTGGCAGACAACTTTCCAGGAAATTAACCTTCAAACCAGTGACATCTGTTTCACCAGTGAACTCTATCCAAACTCTTAAGAACCTAATGCCAACCTCAATATCAATGTGTGGGCACTTGGCAGCTTTATTGAAGGACTCATTTTTTATTGTTGTCTCATTCACCACCAGAAAACACTGTGCTGGAGCCTCTGTGATGATGGATGCTGGATATGACAACCTTGCTCAGGACTCTTTCTCACTCTGTATATACATCTTGGGTGGGCTAATTGAATGAACTTCCAGCAGGCATGATGCAATCAGGCCAAACCCCAGTTCTCCCTTCCTCCACACATAACTCACTTACATCACCCCATGCTGTTGAGAAATGGGCTCTTCCTGAGTAATTGTGGAATAAGTGGGTCCATGGATAGTCTGTTA